TATTTATGATATAAAATCATACAAAAATGTGTTACAGGATCTTTAACTTAAAGGTGGAAAATGAAATATTTTCGTGAGATAAGTTAATAATAATAATAATAATATCAACAAAGATATAACAGCTGCAATGTATAAAACAGTACTCTTTTTAAACAACCAAATCAAATCAAACATTAAATAATAAAAACAACCAGATGCTAATAACACTAAAATGACGGTTTGATATTCTACATCACTAGTTTGTATCATAGTTTGGAGACCTTTCTGTTGAAAATGTGTCAGGGTTAAATCGTATACATATACATGCACAGTGCGTTAACTGGAGTGCGGGTATTAGTTACCCGCACTCCAGAGCGCTCCTTTTTGCTGGGGTTTACATATTGTGGCGGCAGAGAAAGGGAAAGCGACAGAAATGTCATATTCAGATGTTCGTTCATTGGTTCATTTTTGCCGGGGTTTCATATTGTGACAACAGGGAACGTGCTTTTATGTTTGACTATGATACAAAAGAGAAAGAACACCAAAACACTCGGCAATCTGATTAATACTCGAGGGCTACGCCCCCTCGTACAAATCAGATAGCCTCGTGTTTCGGTGCTCTTTCTATTACTTATTCAATTAATACTTACTGTAATGTCCTGTCGTATTATAGGAACGCCCCTGGCGGACAGGCAAGCGGAGAATGAATGGATGTTTTTAGTACTCTGGGCAAGATGATATTTGCTGCCTGGAACTATTCATTTTACGCAACATAAATAAAAAGCTATTTTCTGGAAATAGTTTACTGTGGAATTTTATACGCGTCAACAGCTGAATTTTATTCGGGTAGAAAGAAAAAAAATATGTTAATATTGTATTGATATGGTTTGCAAATGCGAAAATATCCCCAAGGTCTTATCTATTTGTCATTAAATGTACAAAGGTAAAAGCTATTTCAGAAAACAGATTTTCAGAAATTCAATACCGCATACGTCCTCATGGGGTTTACAAATGCACAGGATACCACATAAATATTTAACCGAGTAAATGCATGAGTAATCACGAACTACTATAACAGCTTTGTCTCCTACACATACATGTTAAATTTGTATTTTAATATAACGATAGTCAGATAAACATATACTGGATGTGGTTATAAACATTGTGACAATGGGTATTTGGCAAGGATTTATTATATTCGCTTCTTTTTCCTCATGTAAGTAGTCATTTGTATTTTCAGTTGCAACGAAATATTTAATAAGTTTACTTATTATCGTCTTTAAATCTTGTATAGCAAGTAGTAAAATAATTGGTACTTCTAAACGCATACAGCTATTTTAGTGTGTTAAAGTAAATTTATCTGTAATAGAAAAGTTGTAATACAGTAAATAATGATGTTAATGAATTGATACTATTTATTTGCAGACATTAACAATAAATAATAAAAAAGGAAAGAGAATTATATATGAACGTCGTAAGCAAGTGTAAGATACATGAATTGTTATAACAATCTGATATGACTTATATCAATGTATAACGCTAACATTTAGCGCGTCTTTAAGTTATGTTTTTAAAAAGAAAATGACCTCACGTCAAAATATATGCACGGCCTTGCAATACCATTTTTACGGAATCGCAAATTTGGCACGGGAATATGATTAAGTATAATAAAACTTTCTATAATGATAGGCAGTTGTCTATCATAAACAATTAATACGGACAATAATATCTTTAATTCAGTCGTAAACGCAATACAGACGTTTGAAGTGTTGTTTACGTGACGTCACAATGCAGCGCCAAACAGCGCGTGCAAAAACCGTAAAAAAATCACTGTTGCCTATATTTTACTATAAATACTGTTTTTCGCTTGTAAAATATATAAAGAGATAAAATAAGAACACAAACAACGTTCCCAACATGTGTAACTCTCAAATTGATATGCATCAACAACTAAAAAATCAATTAAATAACGTTAATATTAGAAACAATGAGGCAAGAACAAATTTAATCACCAACAATAAAATCCGACTATATTTTTTCTTGATGTGTTAGAACAGAAAACATTTTGATTGTGTTTTCTCTGTGTTATACATATAGCACGATAATTATATGGTTAGCTTCTTGATTTTTTTTACTCCACACCCTGATTAAAATTGTAAAATTTTGACAGAAGTAACCGAAGAAAGATATGATATACACGAATTCTCAAACTAAAACTTTAGCAATTAAATATATCTTTTGTATCCTATATACTTTACATTTTAATAGTCAACTTCTAGTTTTTGCAGAGTAAATACAAATATACGATGTGGTTTTTATATAATTAAAGTCTGTTAACATACATATTATGTCATAAATGAGATAAATGTAGATATCAGCATATCTCCATATATTTATTCGATCTGAAAGAATTGTATAACAAATGATGTTTGCTTAGATGTTATGATTTGTAATTTATTGTACATATGCCATGCTCTGTTATTGTTCGGTTTTTTAAATATGTTTTGCTCTTCAATATTGGAGAATAAAAAGTATCTATCTATCTATCTAAACATTTTAGAGTTTTCTTTCACTTCAAACAGTCTTTATCTTTGGTATTATAGCACATTTCACTCAAAACCAAAATATATTTCCTTTCTTAACCACCCTGAAATTTACTTTCTCGCCTTATTTTATACAAGATTCTAATCATACGAGTTGAAACAACTTGTTTGCCTAAGAGCATTAAGGCCGTTTTTACGATACGAATTTTCCATAGAAACGAGTGTTGCATTTCGTGCGTGCGCATTCTGAGTAGGGCAAAAACAATAATGAAAGAATATATTATATTGCTATTCAACAACTTCATAAACTTAATGTAATGTGAATGATTAACCATTTGTTTAGAATAGTTGATTTTGGTAAATAATCGTTATAGGTGCACGAAAGTTTGCTAGTGCATATTAAAGCACTGAACTCCTAAATAAGCGGTCGTTAATACAAAATTAATGGTTTCAAATCTCATTTTCCACAATAGCATCCAAACTTGCGTTCAGAGGTATGACGCTTCGTATATATGTCAAATTATAATACACAGAAAATTCGTTTTAAGACATTGTTCGTACAAAGGAAAAAAAAAAAAGATTGAAAACATATTTATGAAACAGGTTCTACCATAAGCTTACTTCCAGTTGTATGAAACTTTCAGTTTAATCGACAATTTCTCAATTTCTGTAATATTTCACCGCCGGGTGTACGCATTATCCAGAATCAAAATCGCATTCAACGCGAAATACTGACAAAAAAGGGAAGACTTATGTCAAGGTATTTGGATACTAAAACTAGAAGTAAGGACATCTTCTTTGCAAAAGAAATTAAATTCAAACATATTCTGATTGCTTTACATGACTCGTTTTTGTTCAAGAAACTGGTTGAAAAAGTGTTCGTGGTATCAGAATTTTGAGGATTCGCGCGCATGGCATGACCCCCTTGAGGTCGTAATTATATAAAGGTAGGATTTGCAAACTGAATTTAATAAAAAAAAAAGTATACAAGATGGATCACGAGAAGGTGGGAAATCCAATAATTCTGTCTTCTTCGTGAAAATGTCAATACCTGAACAAAGCTAGCACGAGGCACTTAAAATCTATGTAATTTACCATGTAAATCTTATAAAAAAAAAAGAGGCAAAACATAGCCATTACTCAGTTATATGGCAGGATAAAAGTACTAAATTCAGTCAACCTTTGCACATAACACGTAATGGGTATAGTGTTAATATAATAATCATTATCGTAAAATCTTGACTCAATCTTACGTAGATTTAAATATTTTCTTAAAAAATTGTTTGCACATTGAAGACGTATGGATTTGAAACGAATCGACTTTAAGATAGCTAATGCAATTTTCCCCCCGATATTATTTTGTTAGTAATACGCATAATATTGTATATCCAAAACAATACATTTTTCACCTTTGTCGCGGTAAGGAGGAAGCCATTCATGCAATGTTTAAGTACTTCTATATTTAAAAGATATCCTAGACACTTGAGCGTTCCGCCGCTAACTCAAGTACCTGTGTTTAGGGAGATGAACTTTACAAGTTTTCTTTCGTTCTAATCCCTTTCAATTTTATGTAACAATTATATACATATAAAATGTAATATTTGTAAGATATTGAAATAAATATACGGAAGCGTATCAGGGCCTACAGTTGGTGAGATGTTTTGCGCTAAGTCGACTTATTTTTATTCGCATTGATAAGATGTTTTTGCATTTCGCAATAAAATTTACTGAAAAGATGAGAAGCATTTAGGCATTGCAACTGAATTTTTCTCGATATGTTTGAAGCTTTTGTCTCTTCGACAAAAATCCTGTCGAAACTTCTTGATTTCACGACTTTGCTGAAATATTTAGTAAGACGCAAAGACGTTACTCGCATTGACAAATAGCTCACGTAATTCAACAAAGTTTTTTTGAAATTATTAAAAACTTCTACGTGTTACGTATTAATCATAACTTCTTCATGGAATGTTTTATGTATAACGTATAAATCATAACGTCTTCATGGAATGTTTTTGGTCAAAACGAGAAGAAACAAGTTTACATGACGTGAAACTTTTAGATAAGTGGAGGCCCTGATAAGCTTCCGTATAAATATGTTTAAACTAACTTAAGTACCACTAGTTACATATTAGGGAACTATCAATATACCTTTCGTTTATATATGTTTGTGTTGTCGTCGTATAGTGCATTAATGTGTACTAACATAAGCAGCGACATTTGTTGAACAAAGCTATCCTTGAGCAGTATGATATGCAAAAATGTTACCAATCGCTATTTGTTTAAATTATTATACTGTGAATTCTTTATACGGCAAATTTTCGTTGATATAGTGGAATGCCTTCATCAGTATCGCAGTTTTTGTTTATATTATACATGTTTATATTATAATTGTGTAATGCTTTTATACAGAAAATTACCGTGGAGATATGTCAGTATCGCAATTTGTTTATATGTTTGTGCAATGATTTCTTTATACAGGAAATTTCCGTGGAGATATGGTGAAATGCTACCACCGTCCATGTGATGATCTAGCTACAATGCTTACTGATGACAATATTAACTTCCTTAGCAAGACATCAGATGCTATTGCAAGATCAATTGATGAATTGTCAGAGTCCGACAAAACCGGTAATATATTTTTATTAGGGATACATGCAGTATATTCTCTGTAGAGGCCAGCTTTAGAGCCGCAACTAAATTAACAGCAATATGATTTATTGGTCAGCTTTAAAAAACACATTATTAAAATGAAACACATCTTACCAACAATCAAATTTACGCAAATACGATATATAGATATTGCCACGTAAAGATATTTCTTTGGATTTAATTAGTATTCTTTAAGAGAGAGTGGGCAACACAATAATTTATGAATAATTAAACAGTTCATAAACGTAAGTGGTGTAAAATTTCTTATAGATTCTGTACATCAAATGTTAACATAGACACGTCCTTCCTAGTTGCGGACTGTCAAAAATTCAACCTCCGTCTAACATATGGTGACAGAAAAATAAAATGTGTAAATTCTTATATCTTCTTAAAGACGTCTTGTTGATTAAACCATTGGGTTTGTTTATTTTATAGATTTTTCAGAAACAAGTGGATGCATCGGAGTCTTTCTAAGTCGTGTGATTTCTGCTTAAATGTTGGTCTACTATATCTTAAAACACCATAGTCCCTGAAGAACAATATATTTTTTCAACAATGGACTAATTTGTTCAAACAAAGCTTTTGAAAGATGTATGTTACAGAGACATATTTGTAGATGTCAAATAAATGAGTATTTCAAAACGCCTGTGTATTTTGTATGGTATACGTAGATGTTTCAATATTTCGTTACAGCTCAATACATTCTACCTTTCGTCACATTTCCATGCACGTGAAACAAAACAATAGTACTACGATGTTGTTTTGTCTTTCGTGGAAGTTTTATACATTTAAACTTTAGTAATATTTTATTACGTAGTGATGTGATAGAATACGAACACGTTGTTTTGTTAATGACAGTTTTCTACATTTCGTATTCCAACTTAGGTGATATTTTATAACGTAACTTCAAAGAGTGCGAGCAAGTTGTTGTGTTAATGGCATTTTTCAACCTTTCGTGAATGCTTTAAATCTATGTATTCCAACTTTTTTGTGACGTGACACGAAAGATAACTATATAGCTTATTGTGATAATGACCTTTTTATCACATATTTAAGTACTATTACGTTTGTGTTTTGTTTGTTTGATTGGGTTTTACGTCACATCGACACAGTATATGTCATTTGGCGACGTTCCAGTCTTACTGGTGGAGGAAGACCTCAGATGCTCTTCCTAGCATTACTTCAGGCACGAACGGGCACCTGAGTAGAACCACCGACGTTCCTTAAGCTGGCTGGATAGCTTACTCACATGAAAGAATCCAAAGTCCATGTCGGGATTCGAACCCACAGCGATGAGGGGCAAGTGGTTTGAAGTAACGACCCTATAAGCCACTCGGCCACGGACGCCCCATGACAATACGTGTACATCGATGAGATACACAATATTGACATGACTGGCTTCCATGTCTATTGTTTTTCTTAAATAATAAGATCATGTATTTAAAGGGAGAAATTTAAGCAAAGAAGAATGTCTATTTTATAATTGTACGCAATTGTAAACTTATGAAGTTTTTCAACTGTGACAAACGTTATCCTAGTTGAAAAACCAACTCAAAGAATAATTTTAACTGGAAAGTATTAACAGTGTGATAAAAACAGATAGTTAAAGTAAAACTGGAAACCAAATAATCTTGTGAATATCCCATACAAAAACTAACAACAAACAGCGGTAGGTGTTTAACATAACATGTTAGCACAAAAAACGCAAATGGAATGAATAAAATTATGGATACATACGGATGTTGTCTGTTTTAAAGTAGCTAAAGATGAAAGTACATTATAGTTATCTATTCACAATATAGATACTTTTTATCAATCTGATTAAACACAGAAATTGAGAAATAAATGAACACAAAAAAGTAATAATAACCACGAAATGTGATTTCAATCTGAAACATTTAGCGTATGCTTAAATGCATCGGTTTTATGAAACTAACTTCTACTTTAAATATGTTATACAAAATATAAAAAAGTATATAATATGAAAAAACAACCAACCAACCAAACAGTCAAAACGTATAAAAAGTTACAGCAAATCAATTGGTAAATGAATTTCAAAAAATTCAAGATTAAATTAAACAAGTCATGAAAGTGATCGTGTTGCTACAAGAATAGGCTGGAATTTCTCTATCGATACATAGTTTAAAATCTTTTATACTGCTACTTATTTTACAAAAATAATACAAGTCATGGCGACATTAATAGAACGCAGCCTCAGACATAATCCAGCCAAACCGGTAATACACCAAGTAGGACACATAAAGGGGGCATCCGAGGCCGAGTGGTTAAAGTCGTTAACTTCAAACTACTTGTCACTTACTGCTGTGAGTTCGAATCCCGACAAGGACATTGGATTCTTTCATGTCTGAATGCACGAAAGGGAACCTGAGGTCTTCCTCAACCAATAAAGATGGAAAATCGCCTACGACCTATACTGTGGTGCGAGGTACCCCCCCCCCAACACACACACGCACACAAAAAAGAGACACCTAACCAAAAACGGGAGAGGGCACAAGGGCGGAGGATGGAAGAGACGACAGTAAGAATTATCTTAACTATATTTTGCAGCAAATCTTCAGACTTGCAGGGCACAAAAATGTGCGGATCTATTCCCCAAAACAAGCGACGCTCGGTAAGTAGTAAATCAAATGAAGATAAGTTTATTTCCAGGAAACAAAATCATTTTGACAACCTGGCAGTCGTATCGGAGGTGTCATCTTACTTTCGCGTTTTAGCTTTTTCGTCGTCGTTCTTCCGTGATTTTGTGTTTTCGCGTTTCCTAAATTACTTTATTATAGAAAGTAGCCGCTAAACGTTACACCGTACATTTTAGTACAGCTCAAAGATAATGTACGTTTTACATATATAGGTATAGTAATTTGTACTTTGTATGCCACCTTTGTCACAAACTATATATCGTACATAGGACATGTCTACATCCAGCGCAATTCGACCGGTGTTATAAGGCAATTTTCGTTCGCGAGAAAGCTATGTCTGATTAAGAACCGAAATCCACTGGTTGCAGTTTCGAAATATCACTGTTATTATTTCTTCCAATGTATGAAAAAAACATATCTCTTTAACATTCACCATGGAGGCCGCCATTTTACAAAGTGACCGAAAGTAGTTCCGATAATTCGCCTTATTATGTCAGAGCAAACGTCTACACAGCGGTCTGTCTTGCTTTGCTACACATACCACTGCCACCATATTTTTTTTGGACTGGCGACTTTATCGCCAACAAATCTGCACCCGTTTTTTCCAAAACCGATTCCTTAGATCATTTGAAGTCATGTGTCGTTTTCTATGGTCAGGTGAAGTTAGTTAAAGCGGCCTTCAGCTTTGCTAAAGATTAATTATCTTATCTTTAGATAATTCTTAATTTGAGCATCATATTTATGATATAAAATCATACAAAAATGTGTTACAGGATCTTTAACTTAAAGGTGGAAAATGAAATATTTTCGTGAGATAAGTTAATAATAATAATAATAATATCAACAAAGATATAACAGCTGCAATGTATAAAACAGTACTCTTTTTAAACAACCAAATCAAATCAAACATTAAATAATAAAAACAACCAGATGCTTATAACACTAAAATGGCGGTTTGATATTCTACATCACTAGTTTATTCAATTAATACTTACTGTAATGTCCTGTCGTATTATAGGAACGCCCCTGGCGGACAGGCAAGCGGAGAATGAATGGATGTTTTTAGTACTCTGGGCAAGATGATATTTGCTGCCTGGAACTATTCATTTTACGCAACATAAATAAAAAGCTATTTTCTGGAAATAGTTTACTGTGGAATTTTATACGCGTCAACAGCTGAATTTTATTCGGGTAGAAAGAAAAAAAAATATGTTAATATTGTATTGATATGGTTTGCAAATGCGAAAATATCCCCAAGGTCTTATCTATTTGTCATTAAATGTACAAAGGTAAAAACTGTTTCAGAAAACAGATTTTCAGAAATTCAATACCGCATACGTCCTCATGGGGTTTACAAATGCACAGGATACCACATAAATATTTAACCGAGTAAATGCATGAGTAATCACGAACTACTATAACAGCTTTATCTCCTACACATACATGTTAAATTTGTATTTTAATATAACGATAGTCAGATAAACATATACTGGATGTGGTTATAAACATTGTGACAATGGGTATTTGGCAAGGATTTATTATATTCGCTTCTTTTTCCTCATGTAAGTAGTCATTTGTATTTTCAGTTGCAACGAAATATTTAATAAGTTTACTTATTATCGTCTTTAAATCTTGTATAGCAAGTAGTAAAATAATTGGTACTTCTAAACGCATACAGCTATTTTAGTGTGTTAAAGTAAATTTATCTGTAATAGAAAGCTTGTAATACAGTAAATAATGATGTTAATGAATTGATACTATTTATTTGCAGACATTAACAATAAATAAAAAAAAAGGAAAGAGAATTATATATGAACGTCGTAAGCAAGTGTAAGATACATGAATTGTTATAACAATCTGATATGACTTATATCAATGTAGCAGATAATAAATTGTTCTAAAACAGAATATTATTTTTCATCATATTTTAATGTTGATACTATATCACTTAAAACATTTTAGATTTATCTTCACGCAATATTAGATAAGAATATCCAAATTATTCATTTCTTTTGTAAGAGGTTTCTTTTTTTTGTCCCAAGGTTGCATGGCGAAATAATTTTAAAAACAGTCCGTTTTACCTAAATGGTCATAATGCGACGCTATGAAAAATAGTCAATATACTTTTTTTTAAAAAGAAGTGGCATTAGTATCTGATATTAACTTTACGATTTATCGATCTATCTTCTGTCATTTAAACGCCAACATAAAACCCCAGTCACACTAGAGCTTACGATTACTTGCGACCACCGGCGACTTGTAAAACTGACGATCATCAGCGATTGTCTGCGACCGAAACCATTTTTGCACAGATAAATTTACTTTTGCGAGTATCGTAAGACAAGTCATCATTGACAATCGCACGACAGGTCATAAGTAAACGTACGATGGTCTCAAGATTGCCTGGCATTACTTACGACTACCCGTGACATAACATGCGATCACCTAAAACTTGTCGTACGACCATCACACGATTACTAAAGACTACTTAAGATTATCAGTGACTAGTGGGAATTTGTAAAGACTGTCGTAAGATTGTCGCACTTCCGAACGACCATCGTGCGACAGCCTTAAGACCTTATAAGATCACTAGCGACCTGTTTGATCGCAAGGAGGTTTTTGTGCAAGCTCAAAAACCTCTCTACGACTGAAATTGGTCGTGGGACCTAAATAAGATAACCTGCGACTGTCAAAGATAATCGATGACCGTCGTAAGACGTTTTAAAGATTGTCCGCGACCAGAGGTCACTGGTGATCGTGAACTGGTCTTCACTGGTCATAAGCTCCAATGTGACCGGTCGGTAGTATTACCAATATACAGTTGTACATGTATATTGAAGTTTTATTCGGTGATCGGTCCAACAAAAATTAATACGCGTGCAAAACATCCTACGAGATTTGCACTATCAAATTCCATATGTTTTAATTACTTTAAATATAGAACAGGAAGTCAAACATGCTAACTTGATATCTCATAACCGAATA